TAAATATAACGTTTAATTAAACACTTCCCAGAATACAGTTACATCGACATCAGAGTTGTAATTTCCAGACACAGGTTGTTTCATACTCGTAAATATATTTGTTCATTAAGTGTCTGGTAATATGGTGTCTAAATAATATTCCCGTTCCTAGAAACGTTTCGCGTTGCGGACTATTTGAGATTAAGTTAATTTTGTTCCATAGTTTAATTTGCGACATTTGGTAAACTTATACTTCATTGTTTTGTTTAATAAATGTTATTATTTATTCGGATATAAAGACTGTTTTTGGGGTAAATTTTATGGTTCAGTTCATTACAATAGAAATGCTCTGTTATTTGATGTGAAAATGTAGGTTTAGATCGTAATGTAAGATATAAGCATGTCTTGTTTTATTAGCCACAAAATAATAGAAACAGTATGTACTATGGTATTATTTCTTTAAGCTATATTTTCTACAGATATTTATGAGAAAATAAAAGAATTTAAAACCTGCTCTCTATAGGAAGTCTTTTTAAATCAAAATAAGTTGGAAGTTAGGATAAATTGTGGTCAACCAATAATGGTTTAAACAAATTGGTACCCACTTAAGATACAGGTCATATATTTAACCCTTCCATAGACAGTAACATCTTCAATACATTTTAATGACCCTAAGCAACAACATACTTGTTGTAGAAATTGGAGTAGCAATTAAGTTAAGCAATTAAGGAAATACTTTATTGGTCTCACAAGGGCCATTTCACCTTTCCCGAGCCCTTCACTGAACCCTAAAAAATAATTAACACACTATTGTATTTCAGGAAGTGAACTCTTAATTATTGAAAACTGCCCATAATGTAATTTCTTTTAAAATTTTAAAGTACTTTCTTGAATTACCGCCAAATCTCAATGACACTTTACGGTTACCAGACAGCGAAGAAATAGTAAGTCACGATTATAAGATTCGGTCTTGTTTCAAAATACTTTAATGAGAGTATTTAATTGAAAACTATTAAGAAGAGAGTAAAATATTGTTTATATATAATCAGTAGATATATAACGGACATTTATTTTTTAATCTCGGTTAATATTAAAATGGCCATGGCTCGTAAATAAAGAAGGTAATTTGCTTGAATTTTTACGAGCTCTGTTATAACTAACATAAATCACCCGATAATATGATTAGCTTAAGTAAAGAGAATATTTCATGCTAAGAATATCGGAGCTGGATTTAATTTCATTATGAGCAAAATTCTATGTTGATAACAAAAGCTAAAGAGCGGTTCTTGTTACTTCAAATATTTTTAGTGCAAACAATATTCTATTGCGTGTTAACATAAATTGTAACGGCTACTCCACGGCAATTACATTGAAATCTATTGTAAGCTAGACTCAGAATATGAATATTCATGTAGGCGTAACACCTAGAAATGTAAACAGTCGGATTTTCAGGCGCCTCGCCAAACATGTACCAAATATAAAGCCTTGATAGCTGTTGGCCTAATTTAAGGCTTTGGTTTTAAACTTTTGACATTAGTAGCTGGTTACGGTCTAGGGGAGTGTGGGAAGTAACAAAAATAGACTTTATTTAAAACTGACTGCGTCTGTTGCATAATAGTTTTGAGTGTACTCAAAGCTTATTAAAATACATGCACTCTTATATAAAATTTGGTAATGAAAAATCGTCGTCGTCATCAGCCTATCAACGCCCACTGCTGAGAGGCCTCTTCTCACATGGATAGGGTTAGAGCATTAATCACCACGCTTGCTCAAGACGGGTTGGTGATTTCAAACTTATAATTGTGAAACTATAAGTCCAGGTTTCCTCACGATGTTTTCCTTCACCGTATGTCAGTGGTCTCTAAATAATATCAGAAAGTACATATGACTCCGAAAAATCACATTGGTACTTGCCAGGTTTGAACCCGCGCCCTCGGTAACGAGAGGCGGACCCTTTAACCACTAGGCCACCACTGACTTAAAAATATGAAATTTATTTGTATCCGTGGAGAATTATGTAGTTCAACATCAACAAATTACTCTCAGAAAGTTATATATAACGAGTTCATAGAAAACTAACCATTGGCAACATTCAAAATGTAATTAAACATGTTAGGAACATGTGGAGAGATTTATGTAAATGATCAGCGGACGGAAATTAGAATTTAAATTAGGACAAAAATTTGTAGGAACTTTAACTTTATCATACTAAATTGTAAATTTTAGAACTATTATTTTTGCATAATATCATCCAAATATTTTACTGGAATGTTAAATTTGGCATAAATTAAACCTCTTTACTCGAGCACTTCAAAAACAATGAGGGTTCTGAAATGTCTGAAGTCGTATGAAAATGTCAATACTTATGTACGTTCTAAAAGGCATTTTTAGTTTAAACATCGAATTGTGAATAGAAGTGTATTTATTTTCTCAGTTCTAGTGAAATATAGCTAAAGAAAATTCAGCTTAACAATACGACGGCTAGAGTGCATCTCACAACACTCCACACTTCAATGGAAATCTCCATAACTCATTTCGAAAACTTGACAGAACTTGTAATTTTATCGAAATTCGAAATATTTCGGTCGAAACCAAAATGATATATTGGCAAAGTTGTTGTATAGAATCAGCAATTCCTTGCAAAACTTACGAACTGCATTTTATTTCATCTATATTTACCGACATAGCTCATAAATATTTATAAATCTTGTTTACTGTATAGATCTTGAATTAAACGATATTTTACTTGATAACAAAATAACATGAAAGAAAAATTCTAAGTGATAGCTAATTATAACTAAAAACCAATTTAGCCATAACATTAATTATAACTGTCACTTCATATAATGACAAAACACCGTCCATAAACGCTAACAGACAGATGTCAAATTGGGAGCCAATTTACGTGGTTTACATTGCTGTATTTTTTTAGCTTCGCATCAAATTAAATAAATGAAATTAAAGAAAAATTGTAATGTATTTTAATTCCTTAAACATAAAGAAGAATATTAATCTATACTTGGGACTTATTATCAAATTATTTCGAAGAGAATAAGAGCTAGGAAGCTATGAATTAAAAAAAACTCACAAATAAAAGCCATTCGCATAAAACTATTAATCAAAACAAAAACCGAATCTCTATACCTTTATTTATATCCCTCGTCAGCGACAAAAAAACATTTGACAGGTATTGCAAGGCCATGACAGTTTCACAAATGGCGACAAATTTGACAGATACGCAATTGAATATCGGAAGCGAATCAATGTGTCGTAAATCATGAAAGTTTTTTTTTTCTAAAATAAACCTGTATTACTTTTCGATCTGTCAAACTTTGCCAAAAGAAATTTGACATTCATCCAACTACAATGATTTCCTTTTCGGTATTTTCTCGAAAGAAAAAGTTTTTACTTTGAATAAAAGATTTTGGGTATAACATATTATAATTAATATTGTTGAGTTTTTTATCCATTTTTTAAACACTAATAAAACTCGTATTTTATTATCTTACTAAATATAATTGTCCTAATTGTTTATAATTATTAAAAAAGTATTTTATGGGCTGTCCCGGTAATTTTTATATGTCTTTGAAGTAATATAACATAAAATTTATAACTTAAGAAAACGAAAAGAAGCATTTTTATATCAAAGAAGGAAAATAAATATTGGTTTTCGATTACTCTGAAGTAACTTTGTAAAAAAATTGTTACTCGATTATTAAAAATGTAATATTGAGTCCATAAGAAAATTACGTAAAACAATGAGGGGCAATCAAGTAATGACATTAGGGGGCTCTGATTGGAGGAAAGTATAACCGCGCACACAACTGTTAAAATATTTTACATAATTTGTATGAAAATCGATATTTTATTATTATATAAAAATTAAAAACAACTTTTATTTTTACTGGACGTTACAAGTAGGCTCTCAATTATGTTATTTTATAGTCGTCATGTTTTCTTATTAATTATGCAGTTATTTTCATTTACGCTATTTTCATTCATAAAGCTATATAAATATATATATTTAAGATTTATCTATGTGAGTGTAATAATGATCAAAAAAATATTAATTACCTATATATATATATACCAGTCACCCTGTATATATATATATGTATATAATAATGAGCAAGGTAAATATAATTTAATATTATTTTAACACATCTTAATAATTATGAATTTAACGACGTAAGCTTTTCCTACACGACTGTACTTATCAAGAGCACAATGACAAGGCACGCTTGAAGCTTTTAAACTCGTTAGTGAATCTGACTTTTACAAAAATAATCATTTATTACAATAATAACGTATCATTATAAATTCCTTTATGATAATTAAATATATCAATTTTCTTTGATATTGTAATTTTAATTTAATTTAGTTTTTAACATATTTATTGAGAACTACATGTGTATGAAAATTTCTCGTTGTCGTTTAAGGCTATGTTGTTAGTTAATACTCAAATTAATTTAAAATTACGCCATAGATTATATACCTGTTTATACTTATATTGTTTAAATACATATGAACTAATTGCAATATTTGATCACTTCTACTCCACAAAATAGATATTTTATTCTATTTGAGTATTCTTTGTTTGTTTTAGATTTTAAGTTAATATTTTTTTTAGTTTTGATATCATCTCTCATGTTGATTACATTAACTGGTAGTTCTTAAATAAATATTTATATTTATAAGACTTATAAATCAACATAGATTAAAAACCTTTACAGACATTGAATTCATGGATAACGTATTCAATTATTTGTAAAAGAAAACATTAAAAATATATAATTATTTCAATAATATGTCACATAAGAGTAAACTTCTCATCATACCGTGTATTCGCCGTGCGTGTGTCGGGTCCACCGTTGTAGTGAGAAGAGCTTCAACAGTGCCTGGGACTTGCGACCCAAGTGTAGGTTGAAAGGGCCCTATCTAAACGCTCACCCCTACCGTCCAAGCTCCTCTCTACCTAACTAAAATAAACATTCTAATAAATTTTTTTTTCTTGTTCTCAGTTAAACCGAAGTCTGTTGAAGTTAGAACTGGTGAAGGTCTCATTTTATCCGAGGGCGCCGTATTTGGACCATTGCTGGAAAGGACAAAGGTCAATATTACGTGCCTCGTTGTGGGTGGCAAGCCTCAACCAAAGGTCACTTGGTATTTCAACGGAAGAGAAAGACTTGATGGTAAGTAATATTATTTTTTATTTAACATCCTACACAGAAAATTCAAATAAACTAACGCAGAAAAAACCAAAACATCTTTCCTAATTTTTTTTTTACTAAATACATAGTTCATTCTATATACTTCGCAAAATTTTATACAATATATCACTGAATGAACAAGTGTAATTTGCATAATAGTCCACCAATCGGTTAATTCAAACTAGTAAAGTGCGGAATTAGAATCCAATGTGTAATTTATTAGATAGGACATGACCTGTTTAGTTTCGAGATAAACGCTGTAGGTGTAGTATCGATAATAATATTAATGGATGTTGGCTGTTTTATCGAATACTAATTTGCGAAATGTAGATATTTGAATTGCCTTGAACACGAGGCATGCCGCATTGAACCGCTTTCGAGTTACGACTAAATTGGGTTTTTGAAAAAAAAAAAAGTATTGATTTTTTTTATGTATTTTAAAACTTTATTATTAATTATATTGGATTTTTAATGCAAAAAACTTGAAATATATTTTTTAAATTAATTATAAACAATTAAAAATTGATAAAATTCAAAAATATATCACGTGACTGTAAACGCGCCATGATTGGTCAGCATACTTGTGACGTCATAATGTTAAAGCAATTTCATAATAGTACGTACAGTGTTTATGGCTATTATCTTTAACTTGATAAAAATATCTCAAATTTATTAGTGAAAAACGATTTGAAAAGTTTATTTCGACTATGTGTGATAAAGGATTTATAAAAGCAAAATCGGATAATATTCCTGATGTTAATATATTTTTATGATAACTAATTTTTTTAAAAGTGCGGTTTAATTTTGCTGAAGTTCGAGGTGCTAAGACATCAAGGTAAGTCTGTCAAAAAATACTATTCTAAATGAAAATTAGTATTTATTCTCTATTAAATATAATTAATAATTATTTCATTAAATCATTATTAATAAAATGTTATTATAACATTAAAAAAAAACCAAAATAACATATATGTACTTTAAAAATTTAAATGTAGTCTGATACAGAACCTAGAATGTTATAAAATTATGAAAATATCTATTAATTGAAGTCCAATTATTAGACAAACATATATATAGATTTACTATTTAATCGCTTTGAATTATCAATTAAAATTTTTTAATGCTACGATTCTAAAGGTTATGATTTGGAGCCCAGGTAAAAAAATTAATTATTGAACTATACTTATTCGATTTATACACTTAGATAAATAATAATTAATAACAATACTATTATGAAAACTTACAACGAAATGATCTTCACAACAAAAAAAAATGATTTTGTTTTTGAATAATCTCGATGCACTGCTTGAAACCATTTCTTTCGACGTTTTTCGTCTTGTGGAACATTTAAAAACATTTTTTCAGGAGTTGTTTTTGTAGTCTTTGTACATAATGGTACAAAACTTTTGATTATTTAACAATGCCAACAGAATTTACTAGATAAAAACTCAAAACACTGTACTAATTATTATATCTCTGTATGCTACAATGAGCAAAAACTAACATTGTGACGTCACACGCGCTCGGGTTTATTCACGAGCTGTCGGCTTGTCTTCGGTACTGAATTTAAAATTTAATTTTTATTTTGAAATAACTTTTTAAATATTGCAAAAAAAAATAAAATAAAAATAGTTTTGTTATTAAACTTATATATGATCTTTCCATTTATCACAAAAAAAAAATAATTCAAAAACCCAATTGGTCAGAAGAATCATTATTACATATATGAATTTTTGATCGTTTCTTTCTGAATTATTTTATGCTTGTTTATTATATTCAAATCAGATGAATTTGAAGATAAATAAAAATCAGTTTGAAATCTCTTAAACTTTTATTGATAATTGTTTATTGCTATACTTCTGTGGTTCTACGATAAATTAAAGTAATCAATACAAGAAAAAATATGTTATAGTTTGGTCACTCATATAATTTGTTCATTGCATTCTACTAGCTACACGATAATTTTAAACCCTGAATTTATGTGTGGAAGTGGAAACATAATAGTATTTTTATATATAAGGAAAACAAACTATAATTTTCATTCAAATTTAATAGAACACACAATCAAAGCTACGGGAAAATTGGTATATAACAAAACTCATAGCTACCACTTTATTAAATAAGTTTTTTAACAATTTATTTTAAAAGGAATTCGTATTTGAAAGCAATACTTGCTTTTCAAACAAAACCAAATTGTATCGAGGTCTAAGTGTTTACTGTACCATACTACTTTATTTATACAATTCAAATATATTTTACGAAACACTATATACTCTATTCCCATTGTAATAAGGTCTAGAGAATTAATATTTGAAAAATAAATTTGGGTTTAAATTTTAAAACAAAATACTAGATTTGAATGAAGCTTCTGTTTGTGAATAATATGACTAGAGGTTTAGGTATAAGCATAAATGTCTAGATTTTGTCGTCATCATCATCAGTCTATCAGAGCCCACTGCTGAGCAAAGCCCTCTTGGAGAAGGTTTGAGCATTAATCACCACGCTTGCTCAAAACGGGTTGGTGATTTCAAACTTGTAATTATGGAATTATAAATCCAGGTTTCCTCACGATGTATTCTTTCACCGCCTGTCAGTGGTGTCTAAATACTCTTAGAAAGTACATATGACTCAGTAAAATCACATTGGTACTTGCCACGATCGAACCCGCGACTTCGTGCACTAGAGGCGGGCCTTTAACAACTACGTCTAGATTTAATTTTACATAAATAAAACTTTAATCATTTTAAAAACTGTCGCTGCTTAGAAACACGATAAGAACTTGTGTTACATATACCTACAAGGTTCCAGAATTCTCACTGGCGAGGTAAGTCTGTGACATAAAAGCTGGCAATATATTTTGTAGAAAGAGAAAATTCTCAATTACTACAAAACTAAATTGAGAACTGGTTAACGGTTTTCTTTTAGGAAATCGGTTAAAGTTTCTTGAAAATCGGATATTTAAAATATCTGATGTGACTTTTGCGGTAATAATAAAAAATAACAGCTAAGGTTGATAAGTTTGAATGAAAAACAAAGAACTATGTTTTACAAAACTCTAAAAAGATAGAGGGAAAACATTATAATATAATAAATTTATTATAAACCAACAACACAGAAGCAAAACATTCCAACATTTCCTGTGTAATTCAACCAAGGGTAGCCAACGTTAAATAAACGAAGCTTCTTGTATGAACCACCCAATTCTACCCGTTGACCGCTCATTTGCGGAGCCACTGAATTCGGCACGTACTAAATTCACTAAAGCAAATATTCAAGAAATGTTGATTTTACATCACAAATATTTTCAACGATATTCCCATGCGATACTCCTAGTTAAACATCGCATCCAAAGCATCCGAATTAATTGTAGTATACTTAGTTCGTTTCGTTGCATTCTTTATTCTTTCTGAACTATCTTTACAAAAAAAAAAATTATTTGTTTTATAAACAGTAAGAAAATGAAGACGAATATAAAATGCTAATGTACTTTTTAAACAAGTATATCCTATAATTTCATTCCTATTAAGACTATTCAAAGTTTTAACTAGACTAAGTGTTGTTTGAAATATACATGTAATTTCGTACTAAATTTTCTAAGTCGATCCTTCATATTATATGTATAATGTAAGTTATTTAAACTCTAATACAGTCTCTTGTTTTGTAACACGTTCAATACACAGCTCATAATAATATCAGCTTCTCTATTTATGATTCCAGTCAGAACTGCACCTACCTGCATATCTCATCCGCCTCTACCTTGAAATGAGAATATTTTACGGGGCAAATAGATATTGAAGTGAATTCATACGTGTTTTATAAAACAGATTGAAATAAGATACAGGATGTTCAGGGAATATTCAATATATTACTAGGTTATATATTGAAATATGTTCTAAGCTGGATAAATTGTTTTATATTGTATGTTTCAGACTTTATTGAATACTTGTAGTTTAAAATAACATGTATAAATAATTTAGAAGGGAACAAGAAGTACTAAAATTTGAAATTTTAAGTCGTTTTAATACAAAGTGTGTTTAAATAAAGTTATATAGAGAAAATGACATAAAAATGTTTCTTCCTCTACCTGTCAATTTCCCAGCTTCAGCCAGGGTCTGCCTTACATGTTGTGAATAGTTTTGGCTAATTGTTTTACGACCGACCGCCTGCCTGACATCAAACCTCTTTGGGAATGCATTAATCAGTGATGTCTAAATATTCTTAGAAAGTACATATAACTCGAAAAAATCACATTGGTACTTGCCCGGGCCAGGATCGATAAAAATGTTTATCTATTGTATATTTCCATTTCCTAAAACATCTTCAATTTCATTGAAAGCTTCGATACAGAGAATAAAACTATGCAACAAATATAATATGAATAACTGTTATACACATTTATTTACATATATATGTAAAGTTAAAACAAACAATAGATTTTTAACGTCATAATATACCTTTCGTAAATCAATCTAAAAATATTCGTGAACAGATTTAACCTTCTTACAACCCACACGATTCTCACAGTTCAGTAAAAGAAGCTGTCAATGGTTTTGTTTAAAATAAATAAAATACCCGAAACAAGAGGCGAAGAGTGAAAAATGTTGAAAGATTCCAGCACTTTATGTTTCAAGTAAGTCAGAGTGTGCACGTCAAACACAAGGAAATCCCTAGAGGAAGAATTTGGAAATAACGTTAGATATTTTGAAGCTAAAATCTATCTTTGATGCTTATAAAGTATGACTGGTGAGTTTCTTTACTGTGAAAACATGATAAAAACTTTTATGTTAATTATATAACGCATATACTTAAAGGAATATGACTAAAATAAACATTAACTTTTTTAAGTTTTTGACTTATAAGGTGTATTAAACTAATTCTTGTGATAAACAACTGGCTATTTAGTCTGTTTAAAAACAATTGTTATTCTGTATCGCTCGGGAGCAACACAAAATTTTAAAATAAGCTATAGCCTATATCTTATT